AATCGCTTAGCACCCGCCGCTCGAACCTCGAACCTGGAACCTCGAACAGCATTCGTCGCTGTCTTTACGGCTATTTAAGTGCCGTGGTCCCAGCCGGAATGCCGGAATGGAATGCCAGTCCTGCTCAGCTCAGCTCAGCTCAGTTCGGTTCGGTTGAGGCCGAGTGGTCGTGGTCCAAGGATTCCCGACTCCGATTCCTGCCGGGTGCCCCGTATTTATTGGAAACAGACACGCGACCGCTGCATATTTTATAAGCGCTAATGTCGGACGCGGTGGAAGCCTCCAAGGCCCCGCAGCCCCGGAGAAGCCACAGGAACTGCCAGGACACCCGGAGCTTTCGGGCTCTCGTTACAAATTGTAATAAACCTGCACATCCGCTGCCATTAAGTGACTTCTAATCAACTTTATGGCATCATTTTTTCAGCAGCCAGGCCGGGCAGCCAGAGTCCAGGTGTTAATGATTCAATAACATTAGCCTTTGATAGCCGCTGGCGTTTGCGAGACAACCACCGACATTAATGTGGTTACTTTCTCTTTATTGAGTTCTTTTTTATGTTTAGAGCGGCAGGAGAGGAGGACAGCTCTGAATGGCTGGGCCGGTCAATTGTTGCGTGACTTTCAATTTGTTAAACATTTTCGCCTTAATGGGCGCCGTCGCTCGCCGGCTGGATGTGGACGGGCGTCCCTAATGTACGCCATGATTTTTGCCTTTAAACCTAATCAATTTGCCTGTCTGGTGACACGGCCACCGACCGGAAGCTGAAGCTCTGTCCCACTCCGCAGTGCAAGTCCGATTCGCTGGCATTAAAAGCAGTCATTAACTTTTAAATGAAGCAACGGAAACAAGATAAGCACGTGAGGTGGCAGGCGAACTCGCGACCCCTGACACGCCCACCACGCCCACCACGCCCACCACGCCCACCAGTCGCCGCAACCAAATGACCCATAATTATTCAATAAGAAATAATAAAGTGCGGGTCAGAGGCAGTCGCAGCCAAACGGGGGCACATATTTCCACTGATGGACAGGCTCAGAGGCCAAAGGAGGGTTTTTGAGGGTACACCGAAAAAAGAACCGGGGGCTTGCCAATTAAACACACTTGTAGTGTCTGAATTAGCCATAATTAGCCAGAATTTGAGTGAATCGAGTACTCTTTTCGTCTTATTATTGACTTTCTGTTTATTAGAAATTGCTTAGATTATTCTTAGAATTCTTATTGAAGAGAAGAATGAAGGTAACTATGTGTGGATCAGTTTAAGATCAAAAATATACATTTTCAAACAAATTGTAAAAACAATTTGTGGTAAAAAGAGCGTTGGAAAAAGTTAAAATAACGTAAATATTTTATTTATTTTATTTAATTAAGAGAGCTTGATTCAAGATTTATAATACCACTATTACTATTTACTATTTGATAATGTACAACCTAGATATATTTATTGTGAACGGTAGGGTATTTTTTTCGGTGTAACTGGTATTTGTTGACGTTGACCCGGCCCAAATGATTGTTGCGTGACTGGCAAGTTTTTTTCAATGAAAATTCCTTAATTTGCCAGGCCATAAGGTCCTCCGAAAGCCTCCTGGTCCCTGGCCCCTGACCCGTGACCCCTGACCTCCGCAACGCCCTGAGGCAATGTTGTCGCTGTTAAGTAGTTACATTTTGTAGCGATTTGCCCGACAACACCAATAAAGCATCAAACACAAGGGACGGCACGGAAAAATAGGGATTTCAATGGGGCAGGGGCCGAGTTTGTTGATTTCCGAACATCAAATTATAGCCGTGAAATGGGGTCCTTTTGGCCCCCACATTCTATTTTGGAGGGGAGGGGAAAGCGAAAACTGACCGAGGGGGGTATTAAATCTCAGATAACTTTCCCACGAGTGACGAACCGCTCTTTCTCTAAAGCACAGTTGTTGCATTTTAATATGTTATAATATATGTTGCATACTTTTTGTTTTATTTCGTGGATTTTATAATTCATTGGTTCAGTTTCTAAACACCGCTGAGTTGGAGATTATGGTGAAACGAAGGACTGCGCGTTTTCCATTGTCATTGACATTGATAGTAATCCAATTTGTTCGAATGTGCCAGAATTCAACAAACCAACACAGCAATTTTTCTGAATGGGACCTAAAACTAGAGTAGAATCCCTAGATGCCACAAACGCAGAACAATGCCGATAAGTTACATGCCCCATAACCCAAACGCTATCAAACGACAGCCCATCTCCAAAATGATATAGTTTTCAACACGCATCTTTCGGTCCCGCCGGTATAAAGGGTTTTGAAATCTAATTGTATGATGTGCTGCCATCTATTTCGAATGCGATATGATTATTGTCCTTGGCAGGATGCGTTGCGGATTTGTGGAAACAGGAACCCACGGCTTTGTTATGCAAAAGTTTGGGGCCAAACAGGATGCGGGGCCTTCGGAGCCCTCAGACAGTATTTAGTGTCACATCATTAAAATCGACAAACAACTTTTGCGAAACAACAATTCAGCAGAAACTACGTTGCTACATCCGCCCGGCCCATCCGTTCATCTATTCAAACTACGAGCGAAAATCTACAAAATTAATGAGTCATCGTAAAAGTTAACAACTTGCACAAAATTGTTTATCTAAAGTGCTAAGCTCCTCCGTTGGCAACTCTATAAATTGATGTCCTCGATTGGATTGCTCCGGCAAAGAAGGGTCTCCACATCGCAAAGGAGCAGGGAAACGGGGTGGTACACGCAGACGTAATCACTTTTTAAGTGTTAGACAATTTATGATACATGAAAATGTTTTTCCTGCTTAGCACACACACCTTTTGCACCCGTCGTAGGTTGACAGTAGGACTCAAAGATTACTTTGGGCTCGGTTTACCTCAGTCCTGCTCAAAGGGTTTTCCCCGACCCCCGACGTATTCCTTGATGTATTTACATGTTTCGGAGATGAGTGCGTGACTTCCTTGGGGCCCAGCACCCCAATCCCTCCCAGGAACATACATATTTCTTTCCGTATCTGGTGCCGGAATCAATTTGCTTAGCCGGAGTAGCTGCGCCCAAGTCGGGCTTGCACCGTGAGCGGAGTGATTCGGAAGCCGACTCCACTCACGCTCCCACCGCTGATGTAATTCCTCCTGGGTTGTCAGCGCAATAAACACCTCAAAGTTGATGACATTTCATTAAGCCCATGGTGGGGTCGCGGGAGGAACTGGCTGGCGTGCCAAATGAATTTACTTATGAAGCATGAAAGTGGGTTTCTTTGGTTACTTTCGGGTATAGGCAGACCCCATTTCGCACATTTTGTCCCAGACATTGATGAAAATTTTCGTGTTCATTTGGTGAAAAGGTTTGACGACGTCGCCGTAGCCGCCGTAGCCGCCGTCGACGCATTGAATTTCATTAAAACAAGCGCAAAAGTGCTTTTACCTAGCCCACCTAGCTCAACTGTGCCCATCCACCCACCCATCCATCCATCCACGCCCACTTTCCCACACATGGAAGGACGACTTATGATACGCAGCGGATCCTGCCAGGACTCTCACTCTCACTCTCATCTCGAGCTGGCTGACTAAGTGTTGCCGCCTTTTTGCCTTCATTGGTCTCCTTGATTTGCCTAAGTGATGTGTGGAAGGGAAGGGAAAACCGGCTCCGAGAAAGGGGAAAGGCAGGAGCAGGAGTCCTTCTTTAAGCACCTGGTAAGTGAATTTCCCGAAGGAAGGAGAGCGCCAACTAAATGACTTTGATTGCAAAAGCCGCAGTTATTTAAGTTATTTAACGCTCCTTTGCCGCCAGCAGACGTAATTATATTTTGAAAAGGAGGAATCCAGAACATAAAGGACATCTCAGCTGTTCAAAGAGAGCTTCGCCAAAACTATCCGCCTACTTTACTGCCCTTACCAGCGGAGTGCTGATTTTCAAGGTGATGTGCAAGGATATGAAGTGTAGAAAACTTGTTCTTACCTCCTAAGCAATCTAGTACACCAGTACAAAGTTGAGAATTCTAGTGACGCCTATCTACAGCACACAGTTGCCTTAAATTTGCCAATAACGCTGAAGTTGGTCCCACAATATTTTATTACCTACCAAACCGGTTGAAAATTAAGTAAACGTCTATGGAGACTTCTGCTTGCATGTTTCCACCTCCCTTGCACTTCATTTAGGTGCGTAATAGGTATCTGATAGTCGCGACACTCGACTACAACGCTCTCTCACTTTTATTAAATCCTATTTGTTAATTTAAATAAATTAATTAAAATGAAGCTATCTAAATAAACGTAGGTTTTTTTTCCCATAAGCTCTCGTAGTGTTTCACTTTCCTCAAAATAATAATATGCTCAATAATATAATATAAGGTTTGAAAAATCATGTAAAGTCGGTTTATATGAGTTCTGTATGAGTTCCAAAACAACTCCATATTTCTGCAAGCATTCATTTTGCATAAACCACAAATATGCAAATGATCAAGCCATTCCGCGGAATAAACTAAATCTTGCACTAAGCACTTACATACATATTAAACGAGTATTACCTTGTTCATAGTGGTTTCTTTTAGTATATCTACAAATGAATACACACCATTGTATTAAAAAATCATACCTAAAAACCAAGAAACAAAACTATCAAAACATTACATATTTAACTAATTGGTTTCTGTTTTCTTTTAGAATGATGCTAAGCCAATGATAGTCAACTGAGCAAGAGCAAGCTGTCACTTATGCAGATCCCTGCGTTTCAAGTAAGGCCAAATGCTCTGGTAAATGAAGCATCTTCAAAATGTTGCTGGCAACATGTTGCCAGAGGACAAGCCCAGACGCCTTCGCCGCCACACGAGGCGTCCTTCGGACGCAGAGGCTCGCTTCGGCTGGCTTCGGAATGGCAGGCACAGGAGACGGGACTCCACAGTGCCAGGACATCGGGAGTCGGGAAAATTGGAAATCGGGACTTCCGTGCTGCCGAAGGACGAGCACATTGCGCTAGGTCGGCCCAATGCGAAACGCGCTTGGCGCGACAGGTTCAGTGCTCGGGCAACTTCCTAGCGCGTCGGTTCAGTTCAGTCCAGTGGATTCGAGACACGAAAGGACTCAGTACCAAATTAAGAATTCTGAAGTTTCGAAAAGCGTTTTTGAGTGGCGCGAAACAGCAAGGAGTGATATAATTACTCTAGCAGAAAGTCAAAAAGCGAGTTTTTGACCAGTGTTGCTTGATTATTTTCCAAGTTTTTTTTGAGTGTTGGCCAGTGCTTTGGACCAGTTCGAACTTCGCTCGTTTTTTCGAAAAAGGTAATTCTAAAAACCCCAGACTCAAAAGTATTTCGCGAAATCTTCAATGTGAGTTGAGACTGCCTATCCTAGAAATCACTGGTGAGGAGAAGTCAATCCCTCGTCCAATCCTTTACTCCACTGACCGACGATCGCTGCCAAAAGTATTTCACATACTCGTACGATTGTTCACCCAGTTGTCAATTGCATTATCGGTATGATAGCTTTTCCATTCCTTTCACCGCCAGTCAACCAATTTCTACACCCATCGAGTTGTTTCTTTGTGAATTCCCTCGGCTGTTCATGAGTGAATGCCTATTCAGTTCATTGCATTTCTATGTAGGTCCTCTTTGCTTACATTAACTTTCCTTGTTGGGATTTGTGCATCTTAAGTCACTTGCTGGCAACATTTCTCCTCGTTTCTTGTACTCAGTGAATTAAACTGTTTATTTGCCTCTATTAGGAGTTAATTAATCCTTGCCAGTTATTTCCCTGAAACAAGTTTCATTGTACCTTTGTGTTTGCTTAAATGATGATAAGATGTTGACCGTATTTTAGCCCTTTTGTGAAGAGAATATATGTGCATATATCTTGTGGACGTATCTGGAAATCAATTACAAGCTAAAATTTATTTGCAGAGAAGAGCAATAAAATGTATCTTTGCAAGGTCGCATATTAATGATTAAAACATAAAGTTAAACATAGTTTAAAACTGCCTGCTTTCTTTTGTTTTTAATGGCCTAAATTTAACAGATATTGAATATTTTGTATAAGACAATAAATTATTTTTTAAATACCTAATCATTTTATTGGCTTGCAAAACCACTGGAAACATGTCCCATTCCAAAACTGCCATCCATAGATTGCTTCGCACCCTTTTTGTGTTTTGTGTTCCTGATTCCCTTGAAGAACTTTCACCCACCTGAACTTTAACCCATTCAATCTCACGCTTATCCCTCGCCATCCGCCACCAGTTTGGCACATTCCTGAGGAACCTTTTCTGGAAGACTCCTCCGAAACTTTTTGCCATCGAACAAAAGGCGCCAAAATGAGACTGCAGCATCCAGCCAGCAGGCCAAGTTTTTAGTTGGCCGTGATTTATGTTTTATTAATATTAAAAGTGATTTATTAGCCATGAAATTTGTGAGCCAACTTCGTCGTTGGCCCTTATTCGACCAGGTGAAGGCAGTGCTGGCTGCATGCGCGATTGTTTAATTACTGATGGAGTGGGTCGGCTACTCCCGTCCGGCTGCAGGCGCCATTATCCTTAAGCGCGGACCCGGCCGCTCATTATCCTGCCGTCCGAACTTAAGCTAAACTGCTGCACAGCGAGATTAAAATTGTAAATGACAGCCAGCGTGACAGGACAAGGGAGGAGCAGGCATCTGCTCGTCCTTTAATGTCCTGCGCCGCCCTCGTCCAGCCACGTCCAGCCACGCCCTCCCCGCCCATCTGCCATCCCATTTTGTCGTGTTTTTAATGAAAATTAATTAATTAAATAACGTTTTTACTCATTCGCACCGCCTTGCCCAGCAATTGTCTTCCTTGTGCGCAGGTGTGCGTGTGAGGATGCATTTTATATTAAATAATGAAGTGTGTACAATGTATGCAGTGGCACAAAAAAGAGCAAAGACCAAAATGAAAGGGCTTTATGCGGCAAATGTAAATTTGGACATTTTCGGAACGGAAAATCTCACTCTCCGCAGTGCACAGAGAGAATTGCAAATGCAGTTCTTCAAGACTAACTCGATGTAATTCCTTAGCAACTTTACATGTGCAAGTAACCAATTAACACCTTAATTAAATCAAGTTAAGCATTTGGTCTTTGGATTTGGAAATCTGCTTGAAAATGTACACAGCTTAGCAACTTATTTTCCAAACTAGGAAACTATTTACCAAAGCAAATGGTTTTTAAACTTTACTTGCAAGGATCGCAACTGATGCAACAATGCATCAGATATATTTCCAGATATACGCAGGTATTTAGAAATTCGTTTCTCGCTCTGAGCACAAAAAACTTTTAAAAAGGGTTTTTATATTTAAATTGCAAAATATTTACTGTAAACCGCTTTGGCTCCAGCTTAAAAATCATCCTAAATGTGGAAAAGGGTATTTGCGTATGGCTGGTGATAGCCCAAAACTGTTGGCATCTTTTCATTAAAATTTTACCAGCTATGCAAAAGCCGCTGGCGCTGACACAACCGCCATCTAATATGCACTTTTATTATAATTAAAAAGCTCTAATTATAACTTTTGGCTATATATTTAGTAAGCTACTGAGTCTTGGACTTCCGCCTGCATTTGAGACTGTGAAGCATATTTACAGTCTGCTTTTTGGGTCCAGCTAAATAGGTGAATTTGTACGTTTCTGCAATTAAGCAATCGATGCTCTCTAATTACAGCAAATTAGAGTAATAGCTGCATTCCAAGGTGGATCCACCTCGCATTGTGCCAGGAATTGTGAAGCTCCAATTTCCCCGTCGAAATGGCCAAACTGACGGCTGGCTGGATATTTAATCAGCGCTATTTGGACATAGGATATGTCCGGCGATCCGAGTGCTGACTGATAACGTGGGCAGCGAAGTGCAACCGATGGAAGATGCGTTTTGGGAAAGTGAATGTTCGTGTTACCTGCAAATAGATGGACGAGATAGACATTCAAATCAAATCTACATGCAATGATGGACTCATGTTCCCGAATAATCTGTTTTCCGGACCGCCACTTATTGATTTCATAGGCAAGGCGCAACGAAACAAAGGGAAACCTCGCACAATAATTATGGGAAAATCGACAACAAAAGACATTGGAGAACAAAGCACAACAGCGGCCACCGCCCAGCGAAATTAAACGAAAACGAAATTTTCGCAAGCATTATTTTCCGGACCAGACCCGGTTCCGCAGCCCAATTCGCCCCGAATCCTGTTGTAAATAACCCCGTTTGCTTGTTTCATTTTTTGTCGGCACAAAAAGAGTATGGCTCCTGCATACGAGTATAATGCAAAATGCCAGCGAATAAATCAGGCTGCAATACATATTTAACCCCAAGATTGATCGAGACCCAGTGGAGATATATGGTGGAGCGAGCGAAAGAGTTCTTAAGGCAGCGTGATTTCCGTTTTTGTGGGCTAATAAATGACGTGTCACAGCGAAGCGGAAACAAACACAATTAAAAACGCATCAGTGGCGAATGGTTACACATGTGAGAGTGGCGCCCGGGCAGCCAAGGGTTAAGGGCGGGCTGGGTTGGCCAGCAAAGCAAACCACAAACAACCAGCACTTGCACATTAACAAAAGGCAAACAACGGCGGCAGCAGCCACACAATAAAAGAAATATTTTCCATACATAAAAAGAAAATTGCACAAACAATTGGGAGGAAATGCCAGCGCGCAACGGTTTCAGTTGCCTCAAGTAAGAAAAAATAATGCCACTGCAGCAAAACCGGGAAATGGCAATGGCAATGCCAGGAGCTTTTCCCCGCGGACCACGCTGCGTATGAGTAATGTAGTCCCGGGCGAAGCTTGGAAAAGCGAGGGCAATTTGACAGCAGAAATTAGCCAGCAAGACAACAGGTAAATAACAAAGAAAGGCGCCGGAAAACCCGGAAGGGGCAAATGCATCCAGGGAAATCAGCTGCGCGCGTTCTATCGAAGGAACTAATGAGAAGTGCTATCTACTCGCATCGAGGCAGCTGCACGCGGAAAAAAGATATTATTGAAAGTCGCATTAGTAAGTGGCCATTAAAAGCCTTTTAGTAATCTTTTGGTAAATACGATAAATGTTAGATTCAGTCTGAAAGATACTCCAGTGGGTCATCTCTGTTCTAAAATCAGGCACTACAGTAGTGACTTACGTATATGAAAGTATCTAAAAGATACGAGATTCATGGTAGTGCACAAAGTTCGTCCAATTAAAGCCTTCTACAATAAGTGCTTCTGAAGCAATAGTCCACTTTCGTGTGGCAGAGAAATCGTGAAAAGCAGTTGTTTATGCAGACACGAATTGGCGCAGAGAAGAAACCGTGAAAAGTGACTCGTATAAACACAAGATACATCGAACTTCGACACCCATTTAAGCGCTTTTTTCGAGGGCTTCCCCTTTCGCATGTGTAGCTGCAATAAGCAAGTTGAGCAGATCATTTGCACAATATTTGCATCGAGCCAATACCAAATAGAGCAGAGATACTTGGTGGTAGGCCACTTGAATTTTGATTAAACTCGCTCGCAGAAATGTCGGCACAAATATTCTGTTGAATATCAACAATAAAGGCCGAAACAAGAAGGCGAACAACTTAATGTATGACAATAGTGGCATATTAAGTGTAATAAATACAGACGTGCGTGTGCATTTACATGCGAGTATGTGGGTATTTTTGGCCTGATTAAAGTGCCTTTCTCAAGTAGGAGCTTGAGCGAATTTGGCCTGTGGCTTGCAGTAAATTGCATGAGCCCTTTGGCAGCTAGGGCTTGGCCAAGATATTTCACACTTTACGGCAGATATTTGCAGACATCGAGGCACCGCTGAGCGCTGAGCTTTGGCCATAATTAAGGCCGATTTAATGGAGGTGAATCTTGGAACTGAGGGGCACAGAAAGTATAATGCTGATTAACCAGCCGGGCGGCCATGAAAGGCATTCGGCACAGTCGGTGGGAATTTATTGCGAAATAAGGACTCAAATCAATTGGCCATTTTCATTTGCTTTTGGGGAACAACAAAAGGGGCCCACAATTCCTCGGCGGTGTTTATAAATAATATGGAGTAAATTCTACTGGCAGTTGCAAGTCCAGTGCTTTTGTTGTAAATCTGCCGTTGTTGCCGCTTGGCATTGCCAGCTGGCCACGAAATTTAATTAAAACGATTTTCCATTGGCAAACAAACTGCGGTGTGGTGCAAAAGCGAAATTCCTCCCCATATCCAGAGCCATTTTTGTCTCGCGGTGCTCGTTTTGTCATTAATTTAAAAATTTGTCTGAACCCTTTTCAACTGACAAAATCGGGACATGCAGGCACACGCCCCACCACG